CCCCCCCCCCCCCCCCCCCCCCCCCCACCAGTCCTACTCTCTACTGCGAATGAGATCAACATTTTTAGCTTACACATTCATGTGGTATTTCTCTTTCTGTTCCTGGCTTATTTCACTTGACATAATTTTCTCTAAGCTCATCCACGTTGCTGCAAATGGCAGAATTTCATTCTTTTTTATGAATGTGCCTCATCTTTATGTCGTCCTAAGACCATCATCTAGTAAACGGATGAGCTGCACACCAAGTGAGTTCAGGAGCTGTGGGTCTTTCTGACCTTTAGACTGAAACTTACAGCTCTCTCCTTACCCTCCCAGACCTGCATGGAAACTAGAAGGAGACTCAGAACTCCAAACCCAAGTGATGGAAAGCAGCATTTCTCAACTCTATTTAAATTTTATTTTATTCATTGAATTGAAATCGATTATACATATGTTTGGGATTGAACATTGAGATATGTTGATCAAATCAATATTACTAGCATATATATTGTTACAAATCGTAATTATTCTTTATGCCCTTTGTCCAATCTCTCCCCTCTCTCTCCCCTCTCTAATTGCCCTAGATTTCTTCTCTCCTTCTGAAAGAATAATGGTTACTCTGCTGATTTGTTACCTAGATGATCTGTCCAATTGAGAGATGTGATCAGGTCCCCCAATATTATCATAGAGCAGATGCTGCTTCTGTCACTCTGGAATGGGCTTTGTGGAGAGAAACATCCTCTTCTTTTCTTTGTCTCTGCTGGTGATTCTTGTTTCAATGCACTCCAGTGGCTGGTGGACCATCTGCTTGGTGGTTGTAGCATCTAGCTGCTTTCACGGCAGCCATGGTTATTGTGGTGGCTGTGGTGGGCCACCCACCTGGAGGTGCTGTTTTTGGCATGCTCCTTGGCTCTGACTGTGTACCTGGTTGTGGGGTGTGTCTGGTCCCCTTCTGCATGCCTCAGGTCATGGGGCGGGCCCTCTTCTCCCCTGCTGCCTGGAAGCAACCCCATCCAAAGGGCACAGCTGCGGCTTCTGCCTGCTCCACGCGAAAATCAGCTCCAGCCTTAAAGCAGCCGTGGCATGAAACCCTCAGACCAGTCTTTTCTTTCTCTCATCATGGTTTCTCCCACCTTCATGAACTCCATAGGTCTCTCCTCCTCTTCCCCCGAGCTCTAGCAGCCCCAGCTTGGCTGATGTTTCTTTTTTTTTTTTTTTTTTTTTGTCTTTTTTCCGTGT